GCTTCAGTCTCTCTTTTCTCAACTGGTCAATCTTCCTTAGGCAATTTTGTAAAACCCTAAATATATGCAGGATGATTTTAAAGAGAATTAAAACTATACTACAGTGTAGAAAATTCCTCATACATAGGTTGGATCCTATTTTCCTTTCCTTATCTCCAAAGTGAGCTTAATCACTAAAAAATGCTGTAAGAAATCGCTGTTAGAGTGTATGGTGTACCAAGCTCAATCTAAGCTAGAATTTAGGGACATACAAATATGAAAAGTAAATTTTTTGCCTTTAAGACACTTGGTGTATATTGACAAACATAGTAAAGTAAGAGCTGTGGCAAAGATTGCATAGGTGCTAAGGCTTCTAGAAGGAAAGCCTCTGAAAAGAGGAGAATCTAGAATGAAAACTAGAGAAGCCAAATACTAAGAAGGAGAAAGATATTCTTGCCAGATGTAATTATAGAATGACACAGAGGCTTAATTACAAAATATCTGCAGTGAAAGCAGTAGAGTTTATGGAGTATAAAATCCATGGTGGAATATCTAGGAAGGTAGAGGAAATTAGTATTTTAAAAAATACTATTGTGATATTCTTAGAGGATAAAAGAGGTATAATGTAAGAGAAAAGGGTTTCAGTTGTGACAAAGAGGGGCAGCAAATGTTTAGGGATTGAGACATAGAAAAGTATTTAATGTGGAAGAACAGTTTTAGAAAGCAAAGAGAAAGGTTTGGGAGTAGGAGTAAAACTACTTTGCTATATAAAATTGAAGATATAAAATAGCTGAAAATTTTAACTTTTAGCCTGGTACAGTTTTGAACTGTACTTGAGTTTGTATTTTTCAAAATACTAATGCTATATGTTCTGCAATTATTATTACTCAGCTTTGAGGGCACTTTGCAGGTGATAAAACCAATAAAAATGGTAGTTTTTAAACTCTTTTCAAACAAGGATTATTTGAGAATCTGGTTGAAGTTATTGTCTCCCTGTCCAAGAAAAAGCACACCAGCCAAAACCTTTTCATTCCATTCATTGTGAATTACTGTGATTTCCTTAAACCTGTCCATGGACTCTCTAAGACTACTCATGTTAAGATCTCTTGCACTAAAGTATTTAAAGTATGAGAGTAAAATGGTTGGATTTGTTTTGAATATACAAGTAGCCATATGGAAAATAGGTTTTGGAGGACAAGTTTCCAAGTATGAATATCAGTGAGGAAACTCAATAATAATCTAGGCAAACCAAGATGAAGGGCAAAGTTATTGTAGTAGTAGAAAGAAGAAGTGATGGATTCCGGAAATCTCCTTAAGAGTATAATTAGCAAGACTGGGGTTGATTAGTCAGATGTAATGGAAAACAGGGTGGTGAAGAAGATGAGTTTGCTTTTGGACATGCTTCCTTTGCGATGCTATGGTGCATCAAAAATGTCCTGGAAGAATTTGGGAACACAAATCTTGAGCTGAGGACCCCAGATAAAGATCTGAAAAACCTCAATCTATATATGGTTAAAATCATAAGCATGGAGGGGCTGATTCAGGGAGACAGAGTAGATTAGGAAAAGAGTGTTCATACAAAATGCATCTGAAAGATAAATGAAAACAAGGTCTAAAAAATTTCTGTTGTATGCAGCAACTAGAAGGGCAGGCAGTTTCAGTGTAAGCAGTCATCTTAGAATGGCAGAGGTAAAAAACCAAATTAGAATAGTTTGATCAGTGAATAAAAAGTGTGGAAGCAAAGACATCAAATGAAGAATATTTATGGAGTTGGGTTCCAAAAAGAATGAGCAAAAAAAGCAACAGTTAGATGGTTTAGATAATTATGGAAGGGAGTTTGTTTTGTGTGTGTGTTTTTTTTTAAGACTGAAAGAGAAGTGTGCATTGGAAAATGAGCAGTGAAGATGAACTGAATGTATGGTGGCAGATAAAGTCCAAGAAGGAGATAAGATGATGGGATGCAAATCACCAGCCTAATGGAGGGTCTAAGCCTTACACAGGAGAGAGGGCTCTCACCTTCTGTGAATTGGAAAGGTGGAGAATACAGGTTGGGGTGAAGATAATTCTGTAGGTGCTGTGTGAAGGGGAGTAGAAGGTCTTTCTTGCTGATGACATAACATTTGGGTGACATAGAAGAGAGGTGATATTTTTAAAAAGACTTTGAAAGGAATGAAAGAAAGAAATACAACCAAGAAATCCAAGTTTAAAGTTGGAGACCACTGCTTTGTATTCACCAGTCCTGGAGTGTCATGACTTTCTCCAGTATTGTTCAGGTGCACAAGTGCAGGAAAATGATGGATTCTGGTTGGTTATGGTCTGGCTGGACAGTAATGACAGAATGGCATGGGTGCATGGGGAATGAGATGACAGTAAGTCACAGCTGAGTAGGGCAGAAAGGGAATAAGGAGAGGCTGGATACACAGGAGAAAATGGAAAATGGAAATTTATATTTCATTAAAAAGAAAGTGTTAAGATCACTGAATTTGTGAAATGGCGTAAAATAAGCAAATTTGTTTTCAGAGAAGAGAACATTGAATTTAAAGATCTCTGACTTAGAGCAATTCTGAGTCATCTGGCTGTGGTTTAGGGAAGGTGAAGTGGAGGGGAATCTCCAGATTTGAGATTGAGCCGCTTTGAAATTAGTGGGTGGGCACACATGAATACAAAAATCATTCAAGATACTAATGACACTTGAGTTGAAGAAGAAAACTTTGAGCCTGAGCAAAGTCTTCAAAGGCAGAAAGAAGAAAGATTTGCATTTAATAATCCTGTTGTTGGGTAGCCTCCTTTGGAGCTGAGGTACTGACTGCACTGTGATATTCTTAGAGGATAAAAGAGGGGTAATGTAAGAGAAAAGGGTTTCAGTTGTGACAAGGAGGGGCAGGAAATGTTTAGGGGCTGAGACGTAGAAAAGTGTTTAACGTGGAAGAGCAGTTTTAGAAAGCAAAGAGAAAAGGTTTGGGAATAGGAGTAAAACTCTTATATTGCAAAAAATAAGTGACTTAACTTTTATTAAGACTGTATTTCCTGGACTTGCCTACACAACCCTTGTTTGTGTAGCACCTACTAACCTCTTACAGGAGTGGTGCTGTGTGATTACAGCTTGGGAAACACTGGCAGAGCATCCGAGAATAACAGGGCCGAGAAACATTCTGACATGGAGTTGGTGCCAACCCATGGTAAATTCAGCTCATAAGGTATCTGGAGGGTGGTCTGTGGACAAAGATGAGCCAGCTTCAAGGCCACCCAATTTGTTGGCTTATTTTCATGGCCATTTATCTTTGCATCTCAGCTAAACTGATAACTCTGAAGTCAAGGACAGTTGTAATTTCTTTACTTCTCTACAACATTTGGCTTATTATTAAGCATATTAATAAATGCTAGGATAATATTTCTTTTTATTACAGCTTATAATGAGTGAAAAATTTTACAACTTAGTTTTTATTTCTTGCTTCTTTCTGCCTTTACTAGAGGTTTATATTCCACATAGGTTTTTAACCCTCTGTTAAATACCTAAATGTGTTGGAGCTCACTGTTAATTTTTAACAATAATTTCCACTTACACCTTTCAAATTCTTATGTACTACATACTTTCTCTCTTTGATAATTTTGATGAAATGGTCTTAGACAAAGAAAATCCAAAAAATAGTGTTTGGTATTACTGATTAGTGAAGTATTTATCCTGATTCTTAAAAGTAAATGAAACAATAAAAAATGGGCAGATTTGAGATGTAGCTAAATCATTCATTTTAAAGTGGTGTTTTTTTCAAAATAAACTTTGGAAAATTGAAAGTATAAAATCATGTGTATTTGAACAAAGATTGTTATGACTTTCAGGAAATTATCCTTGAGAATTCTAATTAGCTTATGTAAGACAGTAAATATGGTTTCATGTATAGAAGGTAATTTCTAAGTATAAATGTATAACATATACAGAAATGTGCTATAGGAAAAAAATGAAGATATAACCCTCAATATGTTTAATTATCAAAAGGTGAAGAGAAAGTGATCTATATATGCTTGAATATGCAAAAGTCAAAAGCAAATTATTCTGTGATTCCACTGTGCTATTTAAAATTGAAGATATAAAATAGCTGAAAATTTTGACTTTTAGCTTGGTACACTTTTGAACTGTACTTGAGTTTGTATTTTTAAAAATACTAATGCTATATGTTCTGCGTTTATTAATTCTCAGCTTTGAGGGCACTAGCCATCAGCTAAATGCAAGAAAAAAGTAGGGGTGCTGGTAGAACTTCCAATCTCTGGGTTGTTTAATATTCTGTCCTCCACCATTAGCAGACTTATTCTGCTGTTATTAGGAGAGAGTTCCAGCATTGATGACCTCTACTCCTTTGATAGAGTGATTTCACGGTATGAAATAAAGCCACATTGTTTTACTTAATCATTGCTAGGACATTATAGAGATGAGTACACAGAAGCTCAGAAATACATCGTCATGAAAGTACCTACGAAATCTTCCTCCCCTGATGGAGACCCAGTGTCTCTGAGAACCCTTGGCAGACACATGTTAGGATTCTTTCCTTCTGCTTTTGAGACTTAACTTGACCTGCAGGCCTTTAAGCTCAAGTTTGGTACATTTGGAGAATTATGTTTGATAAACCTCTATGTAGTCATGGAAACCTTCTCATGCCGCTGGGCCCAGAAGTCAGGCGAGAACACTGTGTTAGACCCTTGCTCTTTTTCCATTCACTTCCCTGTCATAGTTTCAGTGAAAACATTTGCTTATAAACCTTCCTCCAATTAGGCTAAGAGGAAAAGCAGATTCTACCCAGACTAACCTTCTCATGTGTACAGGAGAAAAGATGAATGACTTTTTTTTTAAAGGTTAGAAAAATAAAAATCCTCTATTACAAAGGCTTTAGTAAACCTTTATTTCTACTCTGAAGAGGCATGTCTGACGCTAGAGTTTAGAAGTTCATACTCATATCCCCAGTAGTATATAGTACACATTTACAATTCAACATTGTTAGAGTTTTTAATGGCCATCTTTAATTATTTAGGCTTCAAGGAGACAACCTGGCAGAAAGAACAGAAGAAACATCACAAATCTTGCATTCTCCAGATGAAATAATTCCAGATTCTCTGGGTAAGTTTTTAATCCAACATTTATTGTATTTGTAGTGGCACTTGAAGATTAACAAAAAAGAAACTGAACCAAACATCATCCCCTGCACCAAATCACTGTTGGTGCCACTCTTATAAGTCTACCATTCCTTTAGGCTGTATGTCAGGACATTAAGGGCAAAGGAGAAAAAGAAGCAAGCATTGATTCTGAGGAGCAGACTCTTAATGCCTGTGCCTCGTTAAGGTACACTTAGTAGTCAACTAAATGTTGGCTACTCCCAATTTACCCGAGCCTCAATTTAATACCCCCAATTAAGTCACTGATTCCAACTTATTTTTGGAACTTACATTGCCTACTTCCATTCTCACTTTCAGTCTTCCTAGGCAGAAATGTCAATTTCATTCTTGATTTTCCTCCCTCTCTTTCAGTCTAATATTGAATTGGTCTCAAATCATGTCACTGTCACTTCAGAATTTCCTCCCTGAGCCAGCCTTCTCTTCATTTTCCCTGATACTGACTCATCTATGCTTTTGTTCTCTTTCTCTGTCTAGTGTAAGAGCTTTGTAAATAGTTCTCCTTGTATTATCTCACCCCTTTCTAGTTCATTCTCCTTCTAAAAACAAAGCTGCCTATTACATCCCCATTTCTAATAGGGCAAATTTCAGACTCTAGCTTAGCATATTAGTTCATGTCAGGGCCTTCAAAATATTTGCTGAATAAATAAATAAACACATGTAATACCACTGTAATGTCATCAAAGGTATATCACTCCTTTATCATTTGGTGTTCTAGCAGGAAGTAGACAGTACATCCAATTAGGATAATTAGAAGAGAAACTATAGGAAAACATTTTCCTTACATTTGAAGAGAGGACATCTTAAATTAGATGCCAAAATTACTAAACATAAAATAAAAGCAAAAAATTCAATTATAGAGTGTTAAAAATTTCTGCTCATCAAAAGATGCCAGAAAAAAGTGAATTGATAAGCCACAAAATAGGAAAATAATCTGTAATATATTTATCATTGATAAAAGTTTAATATTCAGAATACATAAAGAGAATTTACAATTTAATAAAGAAAAGCTCACCAAACCAGTAGAAAAATAAGCAGCATATGTGAATAGATTTTCACAGAAGAGAAAACACAAATGGCCAGTGAGTACATGAAAAATGCTTAACTATTATAGCAATCAAGGAAATCAAATTAAGATCACAGAGAGATGATTTTTCACAACCTTTTATTTGGCATTAATTAAGAAATCTGGCAAAACCAAGTGCTGGTGAAGACAGAGATGAAAAGAAATTCATACACTATAGGGGTGGTATAAACAGTTTTGAAACAGTTTTTCATAATCTTAAAATCTTAAATATTTATATAATTTAAAGCCCTGAAATTCCCCTTCTAAGAAAACATCTTACAATAACAAGTCTCATATACCATGAAATATGAACAACTTGTTAGTATGCTGGTGGATAGGAAAATAGATACATTGTGGAATTGTTACATTATAGGAAACTAAGTGCATTTCAACTACACTCAAAAAATGAATGAAATTAGTGGTGTGCTGGTAAATGTTAACAATTGTTTCTTTAAAAAGGAAAGCCCTGATTTGTAGAGGTTGATGGTTTCTATGTTGTAAGTACTACCCCCATGGCTGATTTCAAGCAGTCAATCTGAAACAGCATTTGGGTCTCCCAGTCTGGTATGAACAGGTTGTAGCTCACAAATGAATAAATCTTAAAAGCATAATCGATCTAACAAAAGCAAGTCATAGAATGCCATTTTTTGGTGAAGCTCAAAACTAGCAAATCTAAGTAATATATTCTTTAGGAAAACATACATAAGTGATAAAACTATATTTATAGAAGGGAATGAAAGACTCAAAATGGTGGTTGTCTTATGGGGGTAGTAGAAGAAAAGAGATGGGTAAGGAAGGAGCTCACGGGTTTGTGCAAGTTCTAATTCTTAGGTGGTGGTTTGGGGTGTTTATCATTGTAGCTTAAATATAATATCTATATTTTATTATACATAATAACATGCATATTATTATAAGTATACTATGTATGTTTTATTATACATGTACTTTTTATATGTCAAATACTGAAAACATTATAAAAAAGCATTAAAAAATAAAGTGTTTTGGGAACAGAAACCAATGCCAGTATAGCACAATATGAATAAATGATAATAGTTTCTACATAACCCAAATCTCTTGTGGTACGAATGAGATGACACACTCTCATGATGGATCTTTAACACTGACAATAAACTTGAACGATGTGTCTGTCCCTAACAACACGGAGGCCCCAGCTGGCCATTTGTTGACACTCACTTAGCAGTCAGGCCTGCTTCTCCTCACTGGTGTTCTTGCCTGTCCACCTTTACTTGGCCGTTCTTCCCTGACTCCCAGTGAGTTCTTCCTCCTCCCTTCGCCTCTTCACATCCTGTGGCCAATATCAAGTGTCCTTGATGTCCAGCCCGCACCGTGGTTCTTTTTCTTCAGCCCCTAATTGTTCTTGAATTATTTCCTGTGTGTTTGTTGTTCTCACATCAATTGAATTACATGCTTCTGGAGGTCTTCTCATGTTCCTCATCATGCCCAATGTAAAACTAGACACAAAACATGTATTATTTAACTACTAGCCTGTTATTATTATTATTATTATTATT